GAGAGAGAGAGAGAGAGAGAGAGAGAGAGAGAGAGAGAGAGAGAGAGAGAGAACGAGCGCAAAAAGGGCTGCTGCGCCATAATGTTCTATTTTTTTTGTTGTAAAAGTAACGCGCTCAGCCCAGTTATTCCCGCTACACCGGTGGTGGAAGTGAGGTGGTATAAGGGTAGCGCAGCTATGCGCGCTACGCGTCCGGGGAAACAACGTTATCTGTCGACACGAACAGGGGGTGCTAGGCAGGGCTGTAAAAAAGTAAAAAATAAAAATAAATAAATAAATAACTTGTCGAGGTGGAAAGCAAATAATCCTTATTGGTCCACCCCAAGGGGCAGGTCGCAGAGGTGCTAACTGCTCACCACCCTCTCGTCTCGACACTTTTGGTTGCATGAAAAATAATACACGCTCGAATCATACACACCCATTTACTTTAAGTAATGAAATAGAGGCAAAGTGTAATTTCTGCAAATAGCAAATTTATGCACAGGACACTGTGAAAAAAAGTAGGTGGGTTTACAGGAAAATTTTCCATGACGAAAGTCGTAAAATTACAATTTGAAATCGTAAAAATACATGCAGTATGTATCGACTTCAAATCCCTTGGCGAGTAAAAAATGACCTGTCGTAAATTTACAACTTGAATTATAATTCGAGTTAACAAATTTTTTGTAAATTTACGACAAAATTTTTCACAGTGGAAAGTTGTTTTGGTTTCCCTATGAACTAAATGGTCCCTTGATGGCGGTGGCGTCCTGGTAAAAGGCGCACTAATTAATTGTGGGCTCTTTCGGCAAGCCTGCTCATTTTCGGAATCAATCAGTCTCATTTTTCTCTTACGTCAGCAGTGTTTACATGGCCCGGTCTCTGCTGTTGCACGTGTTTACTTTCCTCTCCACCAAACCGTCTATCACTCGCTCGCTGCAAATTCGACGCTGTTCCGTGACGCCACGTCTCCACTGAGCCACTAATACGAGCGCGTGCACATACTGCGTGTCGTGGAGGGGGGGGGGGGCGGATAAAAATAAATACGGAGCCCCAAAATCATCATTGGGAACGTACGTGAACTCCAAAAGTAAAAGTTTAACGGCTTAAACTGCAAAACAGAAAAGTAAAACAGTGTGAATTTTCAAAAAAGTCCTACTCAGGCATGCAGTAAAAACAACGTTTAACTAATTATTGGTGTAAAATTTTAAAATGTTAGGTTTTTTAGTTTCGCAGTTTAAACTTTAAAACGTTTCAACCTTCTCCCTTTTTGTAGTTGAAACTGTAAACAATAGTTCTGCGGTTAAAACCGTAACCTTGACATTCAGTTTGATTTGAGGAGAATTTGTACCCCATTCGAGCCTTAAACCACCTCCACATGCACATGTTCCGCGCCAGCCTGCTTAAACGGTTCGCGCACGGCGTTTGAAGAGCAGGAAATTAATCAGAACGTGGCGAGCTATTAACTGAACGCGGTGCGGCGTGGCGCTGTTTGCGCGCGCCGTGCCGCCGTGCCGCTCAACTTGATGAGATTTCATGAACTCGACTGTACTCTGTGTCGCCATGAGCGACCCACCGGACCAAGAGAGTAAATGTCAGGAGGTCACCGGTGATGAGAGAAAGTTGTTACTTTTAATTTTATTTCAAAAAAATGAATATGAGGGAGGGTGAGAGAGGGGGAGGGAGAAAGAGGAGAGCGAGAGAGAGGGTACCACGCATAAGAATCAAAGCAAAGAAGAAGTTTTCTTTGAATTCTTCTTAAACCGTCTTAACCGCAACGTGAAGGGACGAATTCGTAATAATACCTTCATTTACGTACTTTTTTCAGCTTAGGAGGGGAATTGGGTACAAAAATTGAGTCATTACAACACCCAAGATATGGCACTGTCGCTAAGTCCATTAGCAATCGATACATTTGATTCAACAAGCCAAAAAGAGAAAAGGACGAAAGAGACAAGATTCATGGGCTAGCATCAGATAGTTATAGAGAAAGAGAGTGAGAAAGATTATGACGACTGCCGACTCGTTGGAGGGCCTCGCACGGCCATCATTTCCCCGGTCCTTACCCCCGCCCGGGCCCAGCGGGATGGTGTGTCTCGTCCCCCCCCCCTCCTCCCTGTTCTCTGTTTGGCGTGGCTCGGACGGGGACCAGCGGGGGGCGGCGCAGGCCCCCGGGAGTTTGCCGCCGCAGCCACTGCTGGTCAAATTGCCCGACATCACCCTAGGGGGTCACACCGGGCCCCACGCGCACGCACGCACTCGACGATGTCGAGGAGGGGTATAGAATTTCAAATACGGTCGCGTGCCGGCGGTCCACACGAAAGAAAAAGTGATTAAGCTGTTTAGCTTAACCAATAGGGGAATAGGGGGTAGCTAATAGTTTACCTACGTACCTAAAAAATCAACTTTGCTACGTAGCTAAATTTGTTACGGTACAAAGCTAAAATTTAAGCTAAATAGCTTATTTTTTTGCGGTGTGGCTAAATATTTAGCTACATAGCTAAATAATTAGTTAAACCGTATTTAGCTTTTGTTCCAGCTAAATAGCTAATCTTTTATTTTCACCGTGTGCAAATACAGTCGCGTGCCGGCGGCGGTCCATTCCCAGCTGGTTGAGGGTAGAGCGCGAGGGGAGGGAATTCTTCCAAAATGCGGGTCACGACGTGACCGTGGGGGCGTGAAATTGAAAGCACTGTATACATAGAGGAGGACAAGACAAGACGAGACGAGATGGGTCAGCGACCCAGCAGCCGGGGAGGCCTGTGTGGGCTGTGTGTGTGTACTCCAGCGAGGGGTACTCCGGGTGCTTGCGGAGGTCCGAGCCGACGACGCCGCGGGTTCTTGTAACGCATGACCTTGACATCATATTGCGCTGTAGGCCGTTCCCGTCAAAGTGACCGTCGCAGCGAAGTGAGAAGAGAGAGAGAGAGAGAGAGAGCGGGAGAGAGAGAGAGAGAGAGAGAGAGAGAGAGAGAGAGAGAGA